TCTCATTCTATTAATAATTTGATAAGAACATAGGAAGTAAATAATTCTTTTAGATCGGAGGAGAAACAGCAGAGATGCCTGACATGTATTCCAATGGAGAATATGATTTAGCAGGTTTCGCTGTGGGTGCAGTTGAAAGAAACAATTTACTTCCACGCGTGGATGATGTAAAGGAAGGCGATATCATAATCGGTCTTCCATCAAGTGGCGTTCACAGTAATGGATTTAGTTTAGTTCGAAAAATATTAAAATTAGCAGATAAAAAATATTCGGACATTGCACCTTTTTCAGAAAATAATCGCACAATCGGTAATCTATTTTAGTATCCTATATATTATAATTTATTTCATGCTCTGTATGAAGAAAAGATATTTTTTATTTACATTTTACAGGTGACGAATTATTGGAACCAACGAAAATTTATGTAAAAGCTGTAATTTCTGCTTTACGAACGAATTTAGTAAAGGCATTTGCACACATTACTGGAGGAGGTCTTACAGAAAATATACCGAGAATTTTGCCGAAAAATATGGGAGTGGCATTGGATGCGACAACGTGGAAAATTCAGCCAATTTTTAGTTGGTTAGCGGCTACAGGCAAGGCAACAATTTAAATAATTAATCGAATTAATTCAATCCCTCTTTTCGAAGTAATCTATTTTATTCGTAGGTGAAATTAATAAAGAGGAAATGTTAAGAACGTTTAATTGTGGCATTGGCGCTATTCTTATTTGCTCGGAGAAAAATAAGAACGACGTTTTAGCTAAATTACAAACTGAGAATCCTGTGGTCATTGGACATGTGACTAGTTATATGGGTACGAATTCAATATTATTTTCATTAAATTCAGTGTATACATTATGTAGACATTAAATGTTATAGATCATCAACTTAGAGTAAACGTTAAAAACTTTGAAGAAGCGTTCGAAGTAGGAATGAAACGATACATACCGTATATTGTTACAAAGTTAAGCAAGCCTTTGAAGCGAGTGGGTGTTTTAATATCTGGTAGCGGGACCAATTTGCAGTCGTTAATTGATGCAACAAGAGATCCCTCGCAACATATTGGTGCAGAAATTGTTTTAGTAATATCTAACAAACCAAACGTTGAAGGACTTAAGCGAGCCGAGAGTGCTGGAATCAAGACAGTGGTAATGTTATTGGTGATATTGTTTTCATAGTGTTATCTTTTAATGTTCTAATCGTCTCATAATATTTAACTCTCAGGTGATCAAACATAACGACTATTCCACTAGAGAAGCATTTGATGCAGCAATGAATGTTGAACTCGATGCTGCTGAAGTTGAAATAGTTTGTCTCGCTGGTTTCATGCGTATTTTGTCGCATACTTTTGTAAATCGATGGCATGGCGCTTTATTAAATATACACCCTTCGTTATTACCATCTTTCAAAGGTGCTCATGCACATAAAGATGCCTTAGCAGCTGGAGTTCGAATTTCAGGATGTACAGTGCACTTCGTAGAGGTATGTTATACTTTTAATTTAGTTTATTATAGTTAATTTATATAAAAATATTTCATTGGAGAATACATCAACAATGTTTTAAAAATAATTTGTAGGCTGACATAGATGCCGGAGCAATTATCGAACAAGCAACTGTACCTGTTTTCCCAGATGACACCGTAGAAACTCTTCAAGAGAGAGTGAAAACGGTCGAGCATCGTATTTTTCCACTCGCTTTAAAACATTTAGCTACCGGAAGAATACATTTAAAAGAAGATAATTCTATCACATGGAATTATTAAGTTGAATAAGTGGTAAAATTGTTTGATGTATCATATATTTTCTAAGTCTATTTTCATACGTGTTAGATCTATCACAGAATAGATATAAACAATGATTACATTGGAAAATCATATATTTTCTACAAGAATTATTTACCAAAAATAGAAAATATTGTTTGAAATAAATCTGGTTCCTTGTTAACAGAAAAATCAGTATCTCTATTCTTTGAATTATTCTCGACAACATTTTTGCGCGGTGGCACTGAAAGTGCTTCATTCGCAAGGTCATCTAGCTTAATATGAAGCTTCTGTTTCTGAAGTATGGGCACCAACAAGTTGTATTTATCGATTTTACTATTTATTCGTTTTGTTGTGGATTTTAAGTCCTCTATAGTATTTTTCCAAGTCCTTTCGTCGGTATAACTTAATGGTAGAAGCCCTATATTATTACGAGCTTTTGTCAATTGCTTTCGTAAATTCTCCGTATCTTCATTAATTTCTTTGGATAGCTGTATCCACTCCGGAATAAATCCATTCTCTATCAGTACCTACAATGTAATTCCGTGCGTCATTTGTTGTAAGTTTTTATCTTGCACTAGTCATACCTCGTTCAATTTGTACGTAACGTAATCAACATACGGATTTCGAGTATTTGTATTCTCTTTTAATGGTTTACCCATTCCCTTTAAATCTTTAAATTCTCCTCTATTCATTGCTTCTTGAATCAGATCTTCTACCAAACGATCCATACCGAAACGCGTTTTAATATCTTTCGCTCGCTGCTTGTCTATCCCGATTAAACTATTACGCTCTTCGGCTTGCAACTTTTTCAATCTATGTTCTAATACATTGTCGACCGCTTTCTGAGCTCTTTCGATCGTATACAACTTTTGTCGTTTGTTATGTGTCCCAATTCCTACATTATAGACCAAATAATGACGATGCTGCGGTGCTGTATGCTAAAAAGAGTAAGTATACACGTTGAAGTAGTAAAACAAGTTAAATTAACAAAAATTTACGTACTTTGATATCAAATTCCTCCACCTCAGGTAAGTGTTTACTATTTTCTCTATCTTCCATTCTCGCTTTACGAATCTGTCTATAAGCATGTTCAATCTGTGAAAAAGGATATGCATATTATCCATTATGCTATGAAAGAATGTTCTTCAATTCCAAACAAAACATGCCTCAGTAAATTTAGCTGCATTAGCTTCTGATGTACCACTGTCTGGATGAAATTTTTTTACTTGATAAACAAATGCTAGTCTTAACGTTTCATCCTCACAGTCCTCTGCGACTTCTAATGTCTGATAATATTTCTGAAATTCAATAAAGTTTATATAACTTAATTGATGCGGATAAAAATACGGTTGAATATACAATTAGAAAATAAAGAATATATAAATATCCTAGTGCGAATCTATTATACCTACCTTTAGATCTTTTCGATGTTTACACCTTTTTATGATCATAAATTCCCAATAAGGTACACATGATCTAAGTTTTGGATAACACTGAGTGAATTTTAGCATGACTTTTACGAAAACGTGTACTGCGACGATTTCGATACTTTGTTTTCTGATTACATAATTAACTGTATTGTTATAATATACATTATAAACTATTCTATTTATGCAAATGCAATCGAAATAACCTGTATTCGTACATTTAAAATCCTCAATAGTTACACGTATTGCGGGTGAATGACACTATCTCAAAATGCACTTCTCGATGAAAGTCGAATATTGTAAACATAGTAAGAACAATACAATTGCTACAAAATAAATCCAATTTTCGAAATTCGCATTAAAAGCAACGTTGTATTGACGTTTAAAAAGGCACGTGTATATAATACACTGAGCGTCACGTGAATAGTAATTGACAAAATCAGCTGTTTGTCATAGGAGGATATTTTAGTCGTGCCATTTAAAATATAAGGCGCCGTCAGAAGGAAGAAGGACAGATTCAATTATTTCTGTGACAATTCAATGTAGAAAATAAATGAAAATCTAATTAAAATCCAATCACAACCTGAGAATATATAATATCTAATCGAATAGCAATTTTTGGTCGAATGACCATCATTTCTTAAATATTTAACATTAATTATTAATTAGAAGTAATTCTCGATTATGTTAAGCAAATAAATGGAATAAATCCGCAATTCGTTAAGGGAAAACACATTAATCTTTTATAAATGGACTATACTCTTCTAATATAATTAATTGGCCTTTCTTCAAGCTTTCTAATAAATATGTATAATGTGTATCAGTCTATTAAGTAATCAATACATTCGCATAATTAATATTCTGTTTCAACTGTGAAATATTTACGCAGGAGGGTTTCGATTATCAATTATTTCATGGGACGTAATTCATGAACAACAGGTGCTCGATGCCAAAGGGGTTGAAATTGCGCAGGCGTTCGCACCACGCAATTTCACGTTTTTTTATAAAAAAAATCTCTTTTAAAATCTCAATTAGAAGTTCTCGGCGTATCGAAGAGAAGCTATAGAACATGCGACATCGGTCGGTTGATAGCGAGCTGCATGAAAACCTCTTCCTATTTCTCTCTTATTGTACACAATATTATTTTTCCCCTTTCCACTTCTCGTTTCCTTCCTAGCGATGGGAACGACCTTATGTTCTTTTTTATACAAATTTGACATAATCCCAAACTTGAATTTTATTAGTCTCATGATCAATCATGTATTATAAGACATCGTAGATGTTTAATAATATTATGCTTTAAATGATATTGCATGAAAAAAAATGCTTGACTCTCAGCTAAAGTACGTAATTCTGTAAATATTTAAGGTTTCCATTTCTGTTGGTTTATTAAGCAAACTTTGTAATGTGTAATTATGTTCGCGTGTCTAATAATGGAACAAACTTCATCCATAGCAAAGTTATTGTTAAGTTTCTGCTGTTACACGCGAGAATGTATTATTACCTGAAACATCAAATGAATATCAGCTTGGATAAGATAAACGCGGCTAATACTATTGTCAATTCTATTATCGTTCTTCCTTTTACCATCCGTTATTTTTAACTCATAATAATACAAATAGCATTATACATTATCTATCTTAAATCGATGATCTATAATTTATAATTATTAACCAAGTGTATACTTTTTTACGTCTGAGACTTTCAACTCTTCAAGCCGTAATATTGCGCGAAATTCCATTAATAAAGCGGTCCAAGTTTCACGAACATCTATGCATCAGGAGTCGACATTCGTGGGGGTAGCGCGTTTTCAAGGTTCAGGTGTACCAAAAGGGTATTGGTCCCATCACTATTCTCATCCTTAGTTGTGTGGCAGCCGGCATGTGCGCGGCATAATCGATTCCGCGGCCAACGCATGCCCTGCTGCTCGTTCTTCGTGAAAGAGTACTCCAGTCGGTGGTACTACTGCGGCACAAAAGGACGTGCACAGGAGGAGATGGTTTAAACGGAGTTTCATCTCCCATCCCGTCGAGCGAGCGATCGTATCCCCGTGTTCACCTGTTCCTGCGCCACGCCGGTACCGCACCACCAAACGGTCGAGGAATCGTCATCAAGGATGTACTGAGATTGATAGGAGAAAGTCACGCCCAGGTAAGAAATAATTATGGGACACGTTTCCCCGCGACGGTGAGGCGCAAGTTCACGGACCGACAGAGAGGGAGAGGGAGGAAACGTGACTACAACCTGATGCTTCGACTGTATGATCGGACGTGGCCTTCGTGCATCGCGGAATCTCCGTGATCCTGTGTAAAAAACGTAGAACGATACGAGAATTTAGCTGAGAATCAAGTGTAACAGATGTGCAATTAAACTTGCCTTCCATTGACTTGAGGGGTCTGCAAGTAGACAGAGGGAATAGTCGGGGTGAGAAGGAAAAGATTCTTGTTAAGACGAGGTACCAGTTGTTACTGTAAATAGACGCGATGATAGTAGTTATTGCAGTCAGTAGGCTAAAATCCGAGTGCAGGTACATTATTCAGGATTAACTTCCGGACCATTGCGCTTCGGTAAGCTGTTTTCCTATAACAGTTTGACAAATTGTTTTGTCATCGCTTTAGCATCGTTTGATTATAAGGGTGGGTATTGTGATTGCGTAAACATACTTAGCTCGTGACGTTACGCAAAGGTGTTGTACCGCACCCTTTCCGAAGCTGCGTTTTACCTGACGCGTTTCTGTACAGTTGATTAAATTGGTATAGTAAAGTTGCTCTTTGGATCATCCGAATGGGGTTCGTTGTTTCACTTCATTACGGGTTTAACAAGCTTGAGAAAATATCCTCGACCAGAGGAGTAATTTGATTACCTCGGCAGCAAAGTATGTTAGGAACCGTGTGTCCCAAACAGCTTGTACGTTTTTCTATGGTGTAACACTTATCACAAACTGTTTTCAATCGAACATTCGTAATCGTAGGTGTGAACTTTGTGCGATTGCACTTCACAACAATTTATAAAATCGATATTCTCCTGTCAATGACGTCGTTTGTAATTGTCGCTAGCGGGATGATAAATGAACGACTTAATACGCGATCGCGAAAAACAGAATCAGTTTAAAAATTAAATGTTAGTATTCTCTAATTTTAAATTGCTCGAAGTAATTAAGCAAGTCTACATAATTTCTGATACTTGAATTTTAGTTAAATAATGAGAAACAGCAGTACGACAGATAATTAGAGAAAAAAGTAATAGTAGTCTATCGTTGCACATAGATAGAATGTGATCTCTCACGTGTTTTCTGTCTTTTTTCCTTCGTTTATTTCATTTCATTAAAAATGCAACTAATCTGTGAAAGCAATAACAGCGAGAGGAACTTAATGAAAACAACTACGTAATCAACTACGAGCTGTGAATTTCAAAAGGACGATTCTTCGCAATCCTTGAATCCATCCGAGATACATTATTCTAATTTATTCTCCTTTATGTTCTCGAGATAATACCCTTTCACCTTTGTTAACTTAAGGGAAAGAGGGATGTATTACAACTGGAAAAACAAATTGACTATGTACAGAATGAGTCGGCAAGAATTACTACCTAAGACATAATAACTAGTTATACATATATATGTATCTTGTCCGAACCAATATGTTAATCTTCACCATTTTTATATTTCAAACAACCTTTCTCTTCGATGTCTCATAATAAGATCAATAAATAAATTATTGTATCTAGCGTATTATGTCGAGCATATTAATGATTTTATTTACGAATCGGGGATTAAAATAATATTAATTAGTCTACGTTGATTAAAGAATGGTTAATTTCTCATTAAATATTGCGCTGGTATTAAATTGTACCGAAGGACGAGCAAGAATTATTTGAAATAAAAAAAGTTTACTAATTCTTGTATTACCCATTTTTTTGCCCTTAAAAAGTACATAAAATCGGATTCTAGGAACATCCATGTGCCGTAAACGGTGGCGAGGAGGCTCGGAGCTGCTGGTGCTCTTCATCCTCCATCACGTTATTCTGGGTGACGGAGATGTCGGTGAGTAGTAGAGATCTACCATTATTCCACCAATCGGGACAGAATAGGCTTGAGTACTCAAAGAAATCGCCTTAGAAATCCTCGAACGTGGGAATCGGAATTCTCTCCACGGCAAAGTTCTAATGGCACTCGAGGCAAAGGACTACTCGAGAAATATCGAAGCAATGAAATGTTATTAACGTAAAATTTTCTCTTTAGTAACTTGCGATATTCTCGTGATTTCATAAAATTTATAGAATTGAAAATCAATGTTTTCTTTGGCTTAAAATCTTTTTACAAAAGATATTAGTTCAACATTTCAGTATATTTCAATGCAAACATTACGTTCATAGTACATTCGTGTTGTCTAAAAAAATATTCATAAAACATGCACCGAGAGTTGGCAGAATGGAAACATTTTTAAAAATCTCAACTTCCATTCTATAAAACCTCGACAAATGAAATGGTATTAAGTCGCATGAAACATGCATTGCATTAAAAATGCTGCAAATTACGTAATAAAGATATTTTATGAGTGTGCGTCAGATTTTTCTCTTCTATTATACTTAAAAATTAATAGTATCATTAACACAGTTGGACCGTTTTTCATTAAAGCACAGCTGCGACGGAATGAAAGTGGAAAGGGATTCTTAATTTTAGACTCGAGTTAGAAAAACTCGAGCAACCATGGAAATACATTCTTTTATTTCTCCGTGATCGATAGTTCCGTGAAGATTTCATTTTTCCGGTCAGCGTGCTTCTCCTTCCCTCACGTTTCCGTTCCACGGAGATGAAAAATATTTCTGATGGATACTTCGCAGCACTGGATTCAGTGCTATGGAAACTGAAGGACTTTTCTATCTTTTACATACACATGATGAAAAATCTGTTTCGTTCAGTTCATATGCATTGCAATCATTTAAAATCGTGCAACTTATTACAATTAAGGTAATTAAGCTTGTTGCATGCGAAGGTTTAGTTGCTCTCTTTTCCTTCCTTGCGTCTTTTCCCTTACAATTAGATTCTATCGTGACATTTCAGATAAGACTTTCGTACGTGCGTGTAAAATGACTTATTGATTAACAGCTAGAAGAAATCGACTTCTCACTAAAGGTATTAAGAATTTTTTCGAAGAGGCAGTTGAGATAAATTTAACATGAATTTGTTACAATGTTATCTTCGATAAATATTAACAATTCAGTTCATTCTTTTATCGCCTATAAAAAAGCCGCTTATATGATGGAAAAGCACGTACAAAGCTTTGCATCTGCTTAATTCTTCTCGTGAACAAGGAAATTGAATTTATCGAGTTCCTTTAAATATTGCAATATTACTCTTTACTTTCTTTATATCAAACAAGAATAGTAAAATGAGATTACATCCTACACGACGAAATATGTTATGACATGATACTGTATTTGAAATAATTCAATCTAATGCACTTAGTTTTAAGAGATTAAAAATGAACTATATAACATTTTCAGAGATCGGCAAATTTCTTTCTCTAGAAATTATAAATTAGAGAAATAAACTGTGAGATGTTGTGTGTTCGAAAGGGGAAGTAAAGTGCAATTTTTTATCTACATAGAAATTAAAATCGTTTCTCGATAACCCTTTCCGTGCAACCAGTTGCGTTTCACTGAAAAATTCGAAGTCGCTATCGATTTTCTATCATCGATTCGCTGAGATCGAAGCAGCTTTGTCTCTTTGTGACCTTGAAAATTGGTTGTTCCTCTAATCGACGAAAAAATATGGGAAGGTAACATTCGATTTTCGCCCACGAGCCCTCGACGATTATCGAGCCGTACATCCCACGCGCCCACCGCCTTTGCAAACTCGCTCCGGCTCTCCTTTCGCCCTGGATTCGTTTCCACCTACTACAAGCACGACCCTTGAGCTGTCTCTTCAACCTCTACCCTCTCCTTTCAGCATTTTTTTCATAGCGCCGCTTCAACCATGCCTGAGTTGCGTTTCGTGCTTGTTACAACTCTTATCTTTTTAATAATGCACGCACTTCGTACTTTTCATAAATATGTAGAAAATGCTTTAATCATTTCTTATTTTATTAATTTTTTTGTATTGTTATTACATATTACCTAATATTTTTTACTTACACAAGAAAAAAAAGAATTTCATTGTCTTGTTTTATAATAACTGTTCTTCTTCAATTGAACAATTGATCACACTACTTAAACATAAAATTACTTGTTTATACCTCGAAAAGTACTTCTTCATATTTAATTGTTTTTCATAATTTGAAGTGATTTAAGGACGACTGAATACAAAAAATCCACTAATAATGAGTAATGACAGTTGACTGTAATTAGTGAAGAAATAACGAGCAGAATAGTAGCTAACGAAAGCTTTAAACTGAATGCTTAGTTATGAGTGTATGTACAATCGCATATTGATTTTTCAATGACCCTCTGAAAAATACCGGATTCTTGACTGTCTGTACAGTTCCATTCTCCAAGCAGAATTATACAATGCGACATTTCCCTCCTTTCCAATGAAGAAATTATTTCATCTTTTGAAACTGATAGCTTTGTAAGATTTATTGACAATTTATGTAATAAATACATTCGGTTTATGTCTATGTATGCGCCCATTGAATCACTTTTGATTAATCTGTTCACTGTAGCAAATAATCAAAGAGGAAAATTAAACAATGGATGGATTTCGATGCTTCTGTTACGTCATAAATTATATAAACAACGCAATTTTTATTTTAATAAAACCTTTCTCGCTTTTATCAATACTCTCATAATCAGAAGACAATAAATTCCATACATTGACTTATAATAGAAACAAACGATTAGAGAAATTGAAATTGTTCGCTGATTGAAGTGGCGTTTGTTGAGCAAAGAATGCAAAATTGTTGCGTTATCACAGTTGACGTGATGGTATTTTCAATGAAACTCAATTCTGGAGCGAAGGCTAAAGGAAATGAAACGCTGACTGCCTGTTCCAGCATTCGAGGAGTAATAAGATCCTATCTGATGAGGAAATTTTAACTCTTTCCTCTCTTCGAACCAAATGTTCGAGAACGACCAACTTAAGTATGTACAAATTCACAGACAGTAAATGAACTTCTCTGCTCTTATGTATTTACCGATTTCGTAGAATAGAATCTATTTAAATGCAGATTATAGAAAAGCTTAAGTAGGAACGTGCTGGATCTACACATATCTTAATCCGCTTATGAACGTGTAATACTAACGATGGCATGCGAAGTTTTTGTTCGATTGCTCATCAATCGAGGATTACGTAACGGTGGCCGATGAAAGTGGAAAGTGCACTGTGGTATTCTAATTAGCGACCTCAGCTTGGAAAACATGTAACGGGAAATTGGCCACACGATTGTGACGTGGAACATTTACGTCAATCTATCATAAATAGAAATAATAACGAAACGCAGTAATTCGCAGTGCCGTCATAAAATTAAATTCCGTCGACGTTAATTAATATAATTCGCGGAAAGAGATACTTATAAATATGAAATGAAGCAGAAATATTTAATTTGTTATAAAACTTCAAATCGCGTCAACTTCAGAGAAAAATAATTACAGTTGCTATAATTGAGATAATTATTAAACAAGGTCCTATCAGTTATCTCTTGACAGACCTGTGTAAATTCGTTTCAGGGTGTCTGTTCAGCAAGAGCCTCTGCGATCCCCGAACGGAAACATGTTACAATGGTAATTGTTAATTGAACAATTCGATATTCTCTTTGTAATCAATATCTCTCTTCTGATACGAATAAAGCTAAATGCTAAAATTTCTCGTGTGAATATTTCAGACCTGGCGTTCGGCAGATGTCTACCGTCGTACGCTGATATGAGCGGTGAAGATTATTATCAGTGAGTGTACTAACTCAATCTTTTTACAAAAAGAAAACTGCATCGATAAAAAGTTGCGACTACTTCAATACAACAGAGACATATAATTGATGCTGAACTTTACGACAGTAGTTCTCGTTTAACGTCTGACCATAAAGTGGCCATACTACTTGAGCTTCCCCCTGCCGCAGAAATAAAGTGCGAACTGCTATTTTCTAGAACAAAATCAGTTAATACTACGTCCGTAAACTTCACTAACAATACAATTCGATTAGATTCAACCGGCGCTGGTCGTTTTTCGTTCCACTTACAGATATAACTTTAACATCGACGAACTGGAGTTACTAAGACTGCAATTAGAGAAGTTGCAAATTGACGGATACAAATGGTCTCATCCTTACACGCAATGTGTCATGAAAACGTCCCTGTACAATTTGCGCCACGGGTACGATTACAAGCAAACATGTAACTTATAGTCTTGTCAGCTTAGCCTGAATAAAAGTAAAAAAGAATGGGTTTCTTTTTTAGTGAAACTTACGATCTTCGACTTTGTCAGGATTTGACACAAAGTACGCATTTTGAGAACAAAAAAGAAATCGATCAGGCAATCGATCGAGTAAGTACGTTTGCAACGAAATTAAGCATATTTACAGAATTTTAGAAGAAAATTTTCCCTTCAAGGTACCTACAATAGCTGTAGTGAAGTTTACACCGAACAATGGAAAATTTAACAGTCAATTCGCCAACGAGTTGTACTACCCTCCGAGCACGCGAGAACAGTACTTACGCGACTCATTTTACGACGACGATTCCTCTCAATCACTGTACAAGAAACAATCAGAAGAGAACGAACCCCAATTCTACAGGCCAATGTACAATCCGAATTCTTACAACGAACACAACTCTTTAACAAAAGAGGGAAGCTACGAGGAAGGTGATTCGCGCAAAGCTCGTTTGAGTTTTGACGAACCTGACGAGAAGCTCTATCGGACTCGAAGACAACCGTACGATCTACAGGATTACGAAGACGACGCGTTGAAGTCACTTAAGAACATCTTAGAAGAGGAGACGCTATCGAAGGAACTTCATGATTCGGATCCCAGAGATGCTCTAAATGTGGACGATCTGGATTTTTTAGTGAACGACAAATCTGATGATGATTATCTTGATAAAAAGGACGAACCGAGGGAGGATCTTGATGTCGATTACGAGAAGGCCTTCTCGAGGAAGTACAAGCCTAGAAAATTTGCCGAGCTAACGGAGAAGAATGAGTTTCTTCTGGATAACGTGAAACGCAACCTGGAGAATAATTATGATAGAAATGATTACGATGATACGAAAAAGGAAGATGAATTGCTTCAGAAGGATAGTTCCCCGATGGAAAATGGGATTTACACTGAAGGAGGACTTGTCCCAGCTGCTGATGATAAGTCTAACGTCGATGACAACGGTAAGTATTTGCTTTCGATCACTGTCTAATTTAGCAGATCAGGGAATTTAATTTTTGTCACAGAGAAAGCCTATGACAATTTTTTTGACGATGATACTATTCGATTTGACGATCTGAACGACTTCCTTCGGAGCCGTGGATTCAGCGGTTTCAAACGACGAGAACGTTTGGATGTGAAAAAACCAGGCCCACAGTTTTCGACGAATAATTATGCGTTCAAAACTTCATCCCCAGCTGGTAAATGATTCTATCACCTAATAGTATTAACAATTCGCGTAAGTAATCTACTGCACCAAATATTTTTATAGATCCGGAAAACGAAATGCATTCTGATTCAGTCGAAACTGAGCAAGATGTAAGTACCAATACAATCTTTCTTTTTTTTTGAGGGAGGTGGGGAATGCTTTCATTACACCATAAATACGGAACTCGCCGGCGGTGGGCCTCACTAAATTGTGGTTGGATCTTCTGCCCGGACCTGTTTATCACATGGATCTACGGGCAGGGGAAATACCAATATATTACGTCGAACTATTCTAATAATACCATCATAATTTGTAGAATGATGTTCTACTCGCACCACACGTGAAAAAGGAGGTGGGAACCGGTCAGCATATGGATACTTTAAAGTTTTATAACAACGTCGATTTGGATCACGTTTACGTGGAATTTTTTAATCATGAATTTCATACGTGGTCCGAGGGAGAACACGTAGTGAAGGAGGTAATTATTATTCATAAATCAATACATTTCTCTCAACAGGAAATTAAATATTTATGATCTCTCTAGATTGGTAAATTATTGGGATTAACACCTGGATCGTTAAAAGACGTCCGAGTCGGTCTAGCAGAAGTGACATTCAAAGTCGTGAAAAATAATAAAGATTACAATGCTACAGACGTAGTCAGCAACATAGGTGATTATTTTAATCTGTTAACGAATGATAGAACGCGTATGACAGATCATTACTAGTGGATTGAATTATATTGTTTTAGACAACATACGCGGACAACTTAAAGAAACTTTGGGTGTCGAGGTGATTCGTGCAGGCATAGGTGACAAGGTTCATCTTAAAACGTCTTTAGAATACAATTAATCTGCACTGATCAAAATGATTACAAGATTGCAACAATAGAGAAACATTCACAATTAGAATTCTCCATAATGCTCTAATTCAGGGGTGACGCCGCAGTTATCCCACTACCAGTTAAGCAGTTCTTTACCAGCTAGAGCTGACAATAAACAGCAGATCTCATCTATTAAGAATAAAACATGAAATTAAATCCTAGTTATCGCGGAGACTCGCTCTTGCCTCTGTGCCGTCGCAAGGCCGGGGAGAAGAGTAGAATAAGGACAAGAGCCGTAAATGGATCGCGAACCACCAGTTCGTCACCCCTGTTCTAATTATTTTAATCATCTCTTTCCCTAAATGCTTTTGATCATAATAAAACTGAATGATAAGAATGGGCCAGGAAAAATTGAACAGTGCATTCGAATAAAAACGAATTGTTTATCTAACAAAAAATAACATATTTTTCCCGTTTAAAGATCAAATTACCGGCAACATTAGAAGTCGTTAGAAAAACCGAGATGAGCTCAGGTGTGTTTGGTGTCATCGTGGGTGCAGGAGTCGCAGCTGCGACTGCAGCTGCGGTGATCACTCTACTAATCGCTCGTCGGCACGCGAAATCCCGAGCCAAGTTGGCGGGATTAGCCACTGACCCGGAAGCTTCGAAGGACTATCAGGACCTATGCAGAGCAAGGATGCATGCCAAACAATCGGACAAACCGGAATCCCCGCGAATCACTAGCTTGAGCAGAGAAAGCGAGTCTAATACCGTGCGCTCGAATCGGTCTAGTACATCCTCTTGGGGTGAAGAACCCGCTCTTTCGAACATGGACATATCAACTGGGAAAATGGTTCTAGTAAGTTGACATAAGATTTAGTTTAATATTGGAGGACTCTGCCGGGAATAGAAACAGTACTGTTATACATCTCTGCAAATACTGTCTATGTATCTGCTCAGAGCTATATGGAGGATCATTTGAAGAATAAGGATCGTTTGGATCAAGAATGGGCAGCGTTGTGCGCATACGAAGTGGACCCATGCTCGACGGAAATCGCGGAAAGTGAGGCGAACGCGAAGCGTAATCGCACCGGTGCTGCGATCCCTTATGACCACTGCAGGGTGATATTAAACGATCTCGCTAATGCCAATAACTCCGACTATATTAACGCCTCCACGATCGTAAGTGTTCTATGCTCACACGATTCGCGATTTCTTAACGGTGAATATAAATGCAGGGTGAAATAATCCATGCGTATGATTTTTATTGTAAAATCGTTGAAAAATGGAAAATAGAGATCGGTAAGTCACACGACGAGCATGATAAATGAGAAAGCGATGCTTCATTTAAAAACGCTTCCGCGTAGAGTAACATTAACTGCAAATAATGGAGCATGATTTAATTAAGTTCTTATATACAGTAGACTTTCGTTAAGGGCATTATACATATAGTTTAGTTGATAGCTCAATCCCGACATGATGGCTTCAATATATCGACGAACGCAAGACGCAAATAATCATTACAAGAGATGCACAGTTTATGGGAACAACAAACTTGCTTGCTCTACACTTAAGCCGTGTGACTTGCTTCCAAACCTGAATTCCTAGTACAGACTTAGAAATAGTTTTTGGAAGTTCCTACTTGAACTGGCAAATTGTTTTAAATTCGAATATAAAGTCTCCATTGTCTGTACTAGGTATATAGAGTCGACTGTTTCGTACGAATCTTGCTCTTTTTTTTAGACGGATCACGATCCTCGAAACCCAGCTTACATTGCTACCCAAGGCCCGCTGCCGCACACGACGGACGATTTTTGGCAGCTGGTTTGGGAACAGGGCAGCGTGGTAATCGTTATGCTAACTAGACTTACTGAGGAAGGGGTTGCCATGTGTCATCGTTACTGGCCCGAAGAAGGATCTGAATTGTACTACATTTATGAAGTGCACCTCGTATCCGAACACTTCTGGTGCGACGATTATCTGGTACGTTCGTTCTACTTGAAGAATCTGCGTACTGGCGAGACAAGGACTGTAACGCAATTCCACTTCATGTCCTGGCCCGAAAACGACGTACCGCATTCCACGAAGGCTCTTCTCGAATTCCGACGGTAATTATGTTTATCATAAATTCAGAAGATGCTTGCATTTGTTTTTATTGGATACATCACACTTTTATTTGATATGATGCAATTTTTTTTTAGAAAAATCAACAAATCTTACAAGGGCAGATCATGTCCGATAGTCGTACATTGCAGGTAAAATACATACTCTATAAGCATAATTGATTTAAAATTGACGAAGTTGTATTTAAAACATTTATTGTTACAGTGATGGTGCTGGACGCACTGGTACTTATTGCTTGATCGACATGGTCTTGAATCGTATGATGAAAGGCGCGAAGGAAATCGACATCGCGGCTACGTTAGAACATATAAGAGATCAAAGACCGAACATGGTTGGAACGAAGCAACAATTTAAATTCGTTCTCATGGCCGTGGCGGAAGAAGTACACGCGATCCTAAAGGCTTTACCCGCACCCCCCGCAGAGAAATCTCCTCCTCCAGGAAACGATTCAACGTCGAAGGAAGGTCAGTAAGGTCTCATTCGAACTAGAAACTGCAGTCGCGGCGAGCAGGGGCAAAGTATCTGATTGCATTCTACCCGTGGTAAAAAAATGGCCAAACGTTTCTAGTTAACCGTTGTCGTACTACAGATCTAAAATTACTATGCAACTCTTTTGTTTCCTGGAACTGTCTCCTTCTAAAATACTTTTGGACATGATCCGCGATTTATCTCATGTATCTAACATTCGACGAGAGCTTTAGTTTGAACTATTACATTCCTTCGTAAATATTTGAGCTTATGTATTAAGATTAAAAAGTTCAATTTATCTTAAATTACGAAGTTAAATACATTGCCAAATAATTATTTTATACACCAGCTGTCTCGTGTGATATTTGTTATTGCGTCTCGTTTGACTACGGCCTAGTTGGATAGTCAGGTTCATGTACAGATTCGAAAGACTGAGCTATGCACCTGATGGACTTCTAAAATATGTGCTAATAATATTATTTCTCTTGTGTTCTTGTAAATTTAGCTCTTAAAGTAATCTTTGTAGCGATTTTATCGATTCTAAAATGATATTTGTGAAACGGATGTGCTTGTCTTCAATTATGTTGCTCAGTCTCCAAAATAGTTTTGTACCATTTCATTTGCATACGTTGCTTTGTCCCATGGATAATCTCCACTAACGTGCTTTACAATAGCTTTAAATAAAATATCGAAATATATTGTGGGATAACATGTATCTCTATCTGCCCAGTCAATTCTATCAAGCGTACAAACGTTGGAGTTCACACGAATTACGATTTGGATTGATCTATCTATTTTATTAAATTAATTTGAACGCATAGATTTGATACAAAAAAATTTGAATGAAATTTTTACGTTAAGTACGCGAGAGCTGAAATCACTTTTAGAGATTGAGATCAGAATTTTTATACTACCTACTGTTACGTGTCCCAGAACGTGTGGATTTTTAATGGACGGCTATGATCGTTGCTTCCGTGAAATAAAATTTTATCAAACGTTACATGTAAAAGTTTCATGTGAAAGAGTCGCGATGAGCACACTATTTTTCAATCTTTTTTCTACGCGTATCAAAAGATGAAAAGAGATGATCGAGCTGCACAGTATTCACGTTCGCGCTATTAGTTAAGTAAATGTCGAAACAAGAGTGAATTGTTAGAATAACGTTTAATCGATGTGAAATAAACATCTCAGTATCCTAAATTTTTTCGTGCGCCTCATTTCACGTGTGTTAATCGCATTTTCCAATAGTGAAGTGAGGGGCCAAATCTAAAAAGTCAACAACCGCGTAACGTAAATTTAATGTTTTGATTATCACACGGAAGTGTCATCATGAACATGCTCTGTGAACGGTACGTTTAATGAATCACTAATATCGTAACAATGATGTTATAGGTGATAAAAGAAAAATATATGAATATATATATGTTTGCATAAATTATCGTGTGACAAGCTATAAATGGAAGTATCATGATAATTTACCTTAAAAATGTGACGCTATTCGTTCTGTAGATCCAGCCTCCTACAGGATGAACAGAAGTTACATACAAGATTTCGTTTTTTCTTCTTCGTTGTGCAGTACGATTATTGAATATTAATGTTTTCCTTTATTCTAAATTATTTGCATTACTAATTATCGGGACTTATTAAACAATCATGAATTCATCGAGTACTACAAATAAATGATAAACAAAAACCAATATATAACATACAGTACTAGATAACATAAATTGCTTCCATTTCTGAAAATCCTATCATTCTATGCGTGTAAGAGAGTTATAGAACCATTAATTATTATAGTTTATATTTTTTTGGTGAATCAATACAAGTGATATCACAACTGTGAACTCAATGTGAAAGTTTGCTTGACCAAGAGATAAGTTTTATTGATCTTTTTAGCAGATTCATATGGAAGATTCTATATTTTTATGCAAAAAGAGGGATGAGTCTATATAAAATAAAATATATATAAATCTATACTATGTTACTCGAAATGTAATACTATATGTGTTATAATATAATAAATCACTCTATGTTCAAATCATGATATACAGAGTGTTATTGTTCCTCAAATTTATTTTTTGTACAAATTATAAATCTTACAATTAAGGACAATGTCCATACAATTCTAGTTAATTATGTACATTATTCAGTACTAATTTAATTTATAAAATAAAAATTCTTGTACTCAACAATTATTTATGAGGTAATATAATACGTGTACCAGCATTTCATTCTGCGTACGTAGAGGATAAGGTACATCAACACTTCATTCTGCATACGTATGGGATAAGGTGTCAGGAAACAGATGATTCCAAAATCCTGAAACAAATTGGAATTCATAAAAATTTAAGCATGCCTTCTTTAATATAAAATGTGCGATATTAATTAACTTATATACCTTCGGGCGTATCGGATGTTTGTGGGAAAAAACTTCTATGTCGAGAACATTGATTTTTCTTTGCTTGTATTTCTTCTTCTGAAAGTCCAAGACCCTCATAATACTAAAACAAGAGTTTATTGGAATCATTAAGAGCTTATTTTATATATAATGTAGTAAACGACATATTAACAGTGAGCTTACAATTCAATTCATCTGTAGTGCAGCATTAATAAGTGGGAAATAATAATTAATACTACTTCACATATTAGTGCGTGTATTTTTAATATAACATAAATTAAAATTAATAAATACCTGTTTACATTCCCAACAAGTAATACCATTCAGTTTTTCCCTTTCTGATTTCTTTTTTGGTACTTTGTCATAACATACGTCTTCTTTGTCAGGAAAGCTTAAATGAATATACTATATTTAATATACGAATATTGTATGAAAGATATTTTTCATATATAAAAGCAATACTTACATATCAAATTTACTTATTTGTCTCTTTTTTACTGGTGGAGAATTCAATAACATTTTCTGGTTGCTTTTATTGTTTTTAATGTCTTCTGATACATTTTTATTACAGTTAAGGTTTTTAACTTGTTCTATATCAAAATAGGTTTCATCATTCTGCGAAGAACTGGCATTCGGCATTTGAGTAGGTAAATCTGAACATATATTTTTTTCTTTTTGAGTAATAACTTCTCTTTTAATTTCCTTTTCTTCCATTTGGGTAATAATCTCTTTTTTAATTTCTTGTACTGGGGCTCCTAAATTCTCAGCATTCGAAAAAGCACGGGAATTCAAAGGAGTATTATTGCTTTTTCCAATAGCTTTACTACAAGAATTAGTTTTCTGTTTGAAGGCATTTGTATTGGATGGATACTGATCATATTTAAAGTTGTTAATTTCACTCGTAGATAGCTTGTTCTCACTATTGCTTTTGTCTCTAAATGAATCAGACTTATTATTTGCTTTTACATCAGTAAACTTCCTCTTAAGTTGTAAACTTCTCATTTTAAATTGGGATTTCATGTTTTTACTTGGACTTCTTTGTACTATTTCTTCTTCTAGAGATCCACTCTTATTTAATTTCTCATTTCTCTTAGGTGATACACGCCAATTCAAACATTCTGATTTATTGTACATTTTATCATCTGCAGTATTTACAAATTGCTTATCCTGAAGCATCACAAGCGTTGACTGTCTTAGTTTCTTGCCATTTTGTAATACTGTAGTGTCGACATTATATAATTTACTAACTCCCAACTTTTTTGACATTTTGGAAATAGGCGTACATTCAATCTGATCAATACTGTCATTAATAACTGAATTGTCTTTCTCTTCCTTTTCATTGTATATGTTTCCTTTAGTAGTATCATATAAAATAGAAACATCGTTTACGAGTGAAGGTGAATGTGCCATATTTTTCTCAAGATTTATCGACACAGGATCGTTTGTATTGAAATTGTTCTGCTTATCATGTTTCTTTGTGAGTATAGGGCTTTTCAGTAATTCATCTTTTTGTTTCTGCTTTGAATTATCATTCTCAGATTGAACATCGACATATGGATTTACTGCTGAACTGGCACTATTAGGAACATTTTCACATAAAGGTATAGACGCCTCTGTATGTTCACTTGGTACTTGACTCATGTCAGATGTGATACTGAAATGTAAAAAATAAATTGACTTGCAAATTATTGCTAAATGCATAGAATATTATTAACATATTTATAATATATGTACATATAAGAGAAATGATCATGTCTGCAATTTAAGATAGAACTTACATAGCATTAATGTTACAATTGTCAGGTTCCAACAATTGAAATGGAATTTTGAAATCTGCATCTTCACAGTGTTTCCGCAATTTTAAATACTCATTCCATAATTCTGCAACCATAAAAAGTTACTGTTTAAATCATGTAAATCACCAAATTTCTTTAGTCCTTTTAAAAAACTAATAAAGATGTAAATATGATAAGATAAAAAATAACATAATTATAACCGATCAATTAAAAAAAGAGAACAAGTAATTCCTTGTTTTTCAAAAGGTAACCATCATAAATATGAGAGATAAATGAATAAAAAATGTGCTGAACACAGAAATATAAGATTTGTGTATACTTACTTTTATACTGATTGAATGTTTTTCCAAGCATCTCGGCGAAATTCTTCATATCATTCCGCGCGATTTCATTGTCTACGTAATAATTAAATTGCAAAACGTCTAATAGAACCATCATTAAAACGATGAACGAGGTAGGTTAGGTATTTATTTTGTCAAACAATTCGGTACCCTGCCCTTTTCTCACTCTTGCCGTTGTTGATCAATTCGTTGCATTTATTTTCTTTCTTATTGCATTATATTATTATCACACTGAGTATAAATTCGAATAAACTCAACAAAATAAACAATTTATTATTTTCATTCTTACGATTGCATTCCGTTGCATTGATCACTTCACTAAACTATACAGCGTGTCGCCAGTTTCTCGTCAAAACCGCAGTCGCACAAATAATCGCCATCATATTGTCACACATTGTATACAGCTTGCCGGTATTGGCCAGTATAGAAGCACAAGTCCTAACCTCATTTTCGCAGTGTTTCACATGGAATCACTTCAATCTGAAACGTTCGTGAAAATTGTGTTAATCTTACCCTATCCTACTTTTATTACGAAAATTGTTTCGAAAATCTTGAGTTTTCTCATAAGAAGAAAGTTATTGGACGTGATGTTGTGCCTAACCAAGCAGAAGTTATTCATCGTAACTGAACAAGTAATTACCATCTCATCACATACTCATAATCTTCGCTACTGTAAATTTATGACGAATTATATTAACTCTCTCATCCTAAAAAAGCCTAGTATGTATTAAGTATACTCTTATCTCTTTATTATATCGTCAATAATATCGTTATGTACATTACATCCCGTAAATATTTCCACAATAAATTAATTATTTAACAGTGTACATAAAAAAATAAGACGTATGCAACAAATAAACATCTAAAATATATCAGATTTAAATTTCTTTTCACGTTCATTCTGTTTTTTCTTTTTTCTGTTTTAATAAATTCATTCATGATAATAAACTACATTGCTTGACATAGAACTGTATATAATAAATGCTAAATACTTCAAAAAGAAATCGTACTATTGAAACAGATAAAAATATCTGTGTACATCAAACTTCTTTCAAATGTACATACAATATGTATATGTGTGCTCTCATATATGTGCACATAAAGATTAGATATCTTCAATACTAAATATAATTTTACTCTTGAAGAAATTAAAAAGAAAAATAGTGAAATTTTAAGACTCTTATTTTGTATATAGCATAAATTTGCACTATAAGGAGCACGTTGATATTATTAAAGATACAAGTATTGTAATAAGTAGCTGGTCACACCTTAATAATACATCAATTATATACAAGTATGTTCCGAATGTGCACTTACAGTCATGAACAGATAGCAGAGTCTATAAACAACTTGGATGCAGTTGTACCTCCATGCCTAGTTAATTTAAAAAATAGTAATTTAGACCTTTCCCAATTTTATACAGAAATATGTAGCTTAGAATGCTGTAAAGAGTTATATTATGTATGTATATACAAATCATTATGAGCTGAATGCTGACTGAGAGGAAGTTGAGGGCAGGAATAGGTTCTGCGTTAGGTTGGATGTTGGTTTACCTGGGGGTCGGGTGATAACAGGGGAAGGATTGCAAGTCTCCAAACCGTAGCGCGACATGAGCGCTAGTAATGCACTGCGAACACCAGCCGTTGCCACTTGTGACCATCTTCCAGAGCTCATTGCATCGTCACCAGCATAAACTGCATAAGCGTCAAACTTTCCTGACTGAGCTGTATCCGAGTCTATAAAAATTAGATGTAGCACACTGATACGTCGTTAATATAATGGAAGGAGGAAGATAGTGAAACTTACCTAAAGGTGGTGGATTCAATGCAGACATATGAGACTCTGCTCCACTTGATCTTGAATTTGCAGTAAGTCGAAGTTCAGCGTGTAACTCTCCTAACAACTGTATTACTTTTGGGTCACTCTGTAATCGAAGTAGTCAATAATATTGTCAGTTTTTATAGTAAGTATAGATTGTTATATTAAGTATGGTCTAAAGTATGTACTTCATTATCTGTTCGAAGTGACATCAGATCTTCGACGCGAATTGGTTTTCCCTGGTTTAACGCATTTGTGAGGGCACTTAATTTTCGAACAAGACTATCTTCAGCGCATAACTCCGACATATTATGAGGGCCAGTATCTCCCTTGGGTCGCGGTGTAACAGGTGGTGGACTAACATAGAAATATGATGGTGATGAGACCATGTAAGGTCTGCCAGTGTCTCCCTTGGGCCTCGGCGTAACGGGAGGCGGACTAGTGTAATAATACGACGGCGATGAGACCATGTAAGGTCTATTTTGGTTGAACATGTTATCTCCCCCATAATGAGAATCCGGACCAAGACGATTTGGATGAGAATTGTAACCTGCTTCCAATTTTAACCGTTTGGAAGACCTGAAATCAAGTTGTCAGCATGTTACAGAAAGTATAAAATGAAAAACAACACAACATAAACATAACATTCTATCAAAATGTTACATAAAGATGAATCAATTAAATGTAAAACACATACTTCAATATTAGAAACCCAAGTAATTAGTAAGTGTACTTAGTAGTAAGTATGAGTAGCAGGAACTTATAGCAGAAAATGTTAAACATTACTAATGTTATGCTCTGCAATGTATATTAGCTAAATTTAAAAATGTTAGTTAGTTACATGTATTAGTTAGTGTTATGTAGGATAACAGAAACAAAAATAATATTGAATAAAATCTTGCACAAATATTATCAAGGATGAATATTAAAATACAAATATTTAACAGTAACAATTATTTGATAAAGTTAATATGTAGAAATCATGCAAAAGAGAGTATTTTATAAACGTGCATACGAAAAAAGCAATTGACAGATCAATATTTCATATGGATAATATACATGCAATTTAATAGGCACAGCGTATCAGACTTTATTTGTATTCCGCAAAATTTTATTTTTCACAATTCATTTTCATTGCTTACTTATCACTTATATATCTTTATAAGTGAATAAATATAACAAAAACAATTTTACGAGGGATCCTACAAATACTAAATTATAATGCGATCGTTGAATATTTTCTTCTTCAACCTTTTTTTTGCACGAGAC